AATTTCTTTTTCTTTGGCTAACTTATAAATATTTCTGTTTAAGTATTCTTTCCCGTTATCGCATCTAAGTTTTTTAATAGTTTTCCCAGTTTTATTTTCTACCTCATTTATGTATTCTAACAGACATTTATAAACTTCATCTTTAGATTTTATCACAAAAACTTTAGCTGCTTTACTGTAATCGTCAATAAACGTAACAAAGTACTTTTCACCATTCATTCCTAGATTTTTATGTGGCCCATTTACATCAGTATGAACAATTTCTAAAATTTCTTTAGCTCTAGTTCTATTATTCTCAAAAGGTAAATTGTGTATCTTGTTTTCTATACATATTCTACATTTCATATATTCAGTGTTTATCTCATTAGGTATACCATCTAACAATTGATTTTTGCATAAAGTAGTTAAATAATTAAAATTTACATAACCTAGTATACGATGCCATTTTTCTTTCAAGCTTATGTTTCCAGCTTTATTATAACTGCTCGTTACGTTAACCTTTGATTCATCACACGGAAAACTTGTCATTTTGTATAACCTACCTTCCTTCCATGCTATTGCGAGAAGTCTATTAAATTTATCATAAATCTTTGATTTATTTCCTGTAGATACAATTTTATTTCTTTCTGTCACCTGAGAATAACTAATTAGATTTTGTTTCATCTCTTTTACATAGAATACATTAAATAATGTTACCTTTCTTTTTCTATTATAAATTGGAAATAAAATATTTACTTTTCCTACCTTCGTTGCTTTTAATATTTGACCATCCCCAACTTTAACATTAATTGGTTCATTCAATGTTGTACATTCGCTAAAATATTTTTCATTGTTAATTATATGATCAGTACACCCGCTGTCTAAAAGCCAATGTATTTGATTGTTTTCCTTAACCTCTCTATTTAACGAGTTTACTTCGACTACGGTATGGAATACTCCTCCTCCAGATGCTGCTTCTTGTCCGTTCTGTTCTCGCCGCCAGTGATGCCCTCTACCACGTGAATTGTAATGTCCTCCGCGGCCGTTCGTGCTGCCACTGCCTCGTTTATTGTAACCGCCACCGCGCCACGTGCCTCGCTGCTGCCCTCTTCCGCGCGTGCTGCCACGATGTGGCTCTCGCCATGAACCCTTGCCACTCTCCGTACAGTCCTTTTTATAATGCCCAAATTTTCTACAATTAAAGCATCCTTGATCCGCCGGATTTTTCCATTCTCGATTTTGTTTTGATTCCATAACAAATGCATTCGATTTGGAATCTGCACTTTCACTTTCTCGATTTTTCAGTTCGAGCATTTTTATCTTGCTTTTCACATATTCCACTGTTTGATCTTCTGTCTTGAGTGTATCGATCAAATCTCCAACGTAACTATAAGATTCCTGAAGCGTTCTTAACATATAATTCAGTTTTTCTTTTTCTTCAACTTTTGCACCTGCCGCCTTCAGTTCATTTATGGATTTTTCAAAGTCACTAAAAAAGGTTGCAGAATCACTGTAGTCTTTTAACTTTAATTTTTCTAATTTATTTCTTAACACAATCTGCAAAGCCGTTGACTCTTTCAAGTACATCTCGTCGAACTTCTTTATTATCTCGTACGCTGATTCTTTATCACTTACAAATTCCAACTGCTTATTTGTAATTGCACTGTAGATGTAATTTATGGCTTTCAAATTATTTTGTTCCTAGTCCTCAGTATTGTCTGTTCCTATCCTTTCTCTTGTAATTACCACGTCACACTTTTTCATTTTCAAGTACATCGTGATTCTCTTCTTCCAACTGCCATAATCTTCTCCGTCGAACACTGGTATTCCATGGTTCTCCGCCATTTTTTTTTGTCAATTTCGAGATCTTATTATCAGTGATCTTTTTACTCAACCACGCTCTGCTACCATGTCATATTTACCGGGATCTTTAGAAGGACTGATATAATACAATCTGGGGCTTTATAATAGCTCTTTCTAATATCTTTTTAAGAACGTGCTCGCACCACTGCGTTGCACCACATGTCTCTTTATTCTTCCAAGAACATAAGAATACACACATCAAAGACAGGACACCAACCGCGCTTCCTACATACTCATAGATGGCGTCACCGAATATAAATGTACATACTTCAACAAAATTAGTTCGAGTTTCGTCGATTTTCCTGGAATCCTTCAATGATTGTTGATTTTTCCTTGTCGAATGTTGCTATGTTCGAATTATGGTCATCGAATAATTCGTCTAATGGTTTTAAATGTAATGTCGGCACACGGACTTCCACCTCTTCATCTAGAGGCTTATGATATTCAAATAAGCCTTTCCAGAAACGTTTTCCACTATTGTATCCCCTAGATAAATTCCGTGCTCTACCTTTAACTTCGGTATGTATCCTATTTTTATTTCAGGATTGATTATTCTTACATAAAATAATGACTCGGATCTTGGTTGTACGGTAATAGTTTCGGGGGAGGAGAAAGGCACATTAATTCCAGAAATGTCTAGATGTTCCTCTGCGTAGTCTATTTTTGAAGAAGTTTGCTTGAAGAAATCATTTCCAAGTATTCCGGATTGTGGAATCGGAAAGTCGTCGGATACAATGTGAAAAGATACAGATATTCCGAAAATTGTTAACATAATTTCTCCGAGTGTGTAAACAGGATAATTATTTATACCATTTAATTTTAAAATATTATCGAAATTTATATTAATATCTTTAGGTGTGTTAATTTCTCTTTAATTATATTCGGTCCGGATCCTGTATCTAGCATGAGAGTTATATGGGCAGATGCTTTGGTGAGCTGGACCTGAACAGTAGGCACGCGACTGTCTTTAGCGAGGGTCACTGTCACAGGCCGGCAGTCTGGGCCAGAATTCTATAACTCGTTAACAATAAATATCGATATCGTTAACTAACGACAATTATTGCTTGCGCGATCGACAGTCATTAAGGTATATGATTCTGTATCGTGGACTTAACGATAATAATCGGTGCAAATTTCGTTACAAATGTATCGAAATTATTCGATAGGCGTGCAACGTTGCCATATTTTAATATGGTAAAAATCTAATAATTTTACAGAATTTGTGTTTGTAACATCGAAAAACTGAAACTTGTTGCTATGTATTTAACCTATTTCTGTTATCTATAATATTTATATCTGTTTTATTTATAATAATAGAACTGCTATAGGGTTTAAGAAATTATTAAAAAATGTCTGAAATCATAATTAAGTAAGTATTATATGAAAAATATAAAATATACATATAACGAAATGTTAATGAGTTTTCTTTTATAGCAAAAGAAAAAGAATGCACGGGCGTCGCAACTACAATTAACCAAAATGATTGATTTTTTCAACCTAAACAAGGGTTTAGCGGAAGGAAAATTCAACGCTCTTCACGGAAAAGAAGAAGTACAAAGAAAATGGGCTGAACTAGCGGCAGAGCTAAATACTTTACAAGGAGCTACAAAAACGATGGATCAGTGGCAAGTGGTAAGTGAAATTGTATGCGTGTTTTAAGTAAAAGTACTGATATAAAAATATATTCTATTTTATTACTCTTTACAAGTACAAAATTAGTTACGTTTTATGTAAAAAAAACGTATACTTATGTATACATATTTAAGGTTTGGAGAGACTTAAAAAGCCGTGTTTCCATTAAAGTAAAAGAATTGCGTAAAGCAAAAGCTTTAACAGGAAATAAACCAATAACCCAATCTGAACTTTCTGATTTTGAACTTCGTGTGCTTGGCATAGTTGGAGCTGAATATGTGGAAGGACACACAGATTGTCCAGAGAGTATCCCTGACGAGGAGATAACTTATATGAAACTAGAAAATTGTGGTATACAATTTACATCATATTTTCAATAAAAAAAGTATAAGTATCTTTATAAATATATTTCTTTTCTCATATACACAGAATTTATTAGAAGAACTGGAACATGGAAATATTTCTGTTTTATCAGAGACTCCAAACGTGATCACTGTCTGTCCAAGTACCTCTAAAAAAATTTCTGCGGACACTCCATATGCATATGGTAAAATATTTGGAAATTTATTAATAATTGGATATTAATAATTGGATATTAATAATTTATAATTGGAAATGTATTAATACATGAATACATTTATAATGCATGCATTCTATCAGCTTTTAATAGATTTTGTTGAAGCGTCTTTGTTATAGCGATAATAAATAAATTAGAAGAAAGCTGAATTATAAATAAATTTTATAAGTAATATATATAAAACATAAAAAATTAAGATTATTCATCGTTTCAATATCTAACTAACATTCTCATTATGAAATATTCTTTGGTTTGCAGTTAATCTCTTGGATGATAATGATAACTCAATTATCAATGACAAATCACTTCACTACACAAGAAAGGAATATAAAGATTCAGAAGCTATTCAAAATGATAATAATGTTGACAATGCCGAATTAATAAAAAAATCAAAAATTTCTATTATTTCTTCTTCAAAAGAAACAATAAATACTCCATATCCAATTGTATCAAAGTCAACGGTACTATCAAAAAGATCATCAGAAACTATTTCTAAAGCGACTTCAAGATGTAAGTCTAAGAGCGAATTCACACTTTGACAGGAAAGCAGAAGCCAATCTCGCACTGGTAGTAAGCTTACTACCAACACGAGTTTTGATTGACTTCTGCTTTCATGTCAAGGTATGAATTCGGCCTTACAAATAATGAGTTGTCAGTAAATTATAATTTAAAAATTTATATTAAAATTAGTTCAAACTTGTTCGTTAAAATTTTTTGTAGATAAAAAATTCATAAAATTCTTTTAATTGCAGTTAATTTTTTGGGTAATGATGATGACGACTTAAATATCGATGACAAATCACCTCAGTATACAAGAAGGGAATATAAAGATTCAGAAGCTATTGATAATAATAATGATGTTGATAATTGCAAATCAAGAAAAAATTCAAAAATTTCTATCTCGTCTTTAAAAAAAAATACTCCATATTCATCTATTGCATCGAAGCCAATGGTATCAAAAAGAGCAGAAACTATTCCTAGCAGATACTATTCCTTAGCAGAAACTATTCCTAAAGCGACTTTATCAAGAAAGTGTAAGTCTTATAAATAGTGAGTTAGTAAATTATAATTTACAAAATTTATGTTAAAAATTAGTTCTCAGGTATTTTGCACACAGGACGTGTTGTATTACGCGGAAGGCGACGCGATAGCCAATAAAAGTTGGATCGATTCAACTTTTAACGTATGACAGAAATTGTGATTGGTCATCGTGTCGCTTTTCGTCATACGTAATGTATCAACGCATCCTGTGTACAAAAGCCTTAACTTGTTATAATTTCTTTGTAGATAAAAAGTTCATTTTTTACATCTTTGTTGTTTTAGCTAATCGAGTTACATCGCATGAATTACATTCATCCAAGGAATATTTCCAAACAATAGCTGAAAAACAGGCTAACGCTGAATTGGTAAGATCATCTTTAATACAGCATATTTAATATATAATAACTAATTTTAATAATTTGTATTTTAATGTTTGCAGATACATGCTGAAGCTGCGAAGGCTCAAGCGACGGCATCTGAAATGCACGCTCATGCGATGACTGAAATTGCACTTGCTGTACAAAAATTGGCAGATACGGCTGCTGTACAAGCAGATAATGAAAGAGAGCGCATACAAATTTTTGAGAAACTTGTAACACTTTTAAACCCTTCATTACCTGCAAACAACGAATAAAACGGTACATCATCTCTGTGTGGTTTATTATAAGTATAAGTATTTAATATACTCAGTAATACTGTCGTTCAACTAAAATTAAACTTTTGATTATTATAATTTTTTAGTGACCACACAGGAACCGAAACAATGAAGACTGAAATTATATATCTGTGAAATGTGATTCTTCCTGCCAAAGATTATATCATAAGTAAAAACTATATGTATGTGATTATTTTTTCCATTTTTTCATTTAATTATGTTTTTTAACATATAATTTTTTGTTTTTGTCTTTCGTATTATAAAACTATTTTGTTTTGTTTAAATAATTTTATCTTATAATTACATATAAAATGCGTGTATGCATGTAATATATGAAATGTATGTCTTTCATGTTATAAGTCAATTTATCTTGTTTCGTTTTAATAATTTTATCTTATAATTACATAAAATGCATATAATACGTGTAATATATAAAAGTAGTGTACTACGCCTTTGATATTAATAAATACTAATGTAATATTTTTCCAAACATATATAACATTGCATATTGTGTTCCAAAGAAGATTTATTTATTTTTTTGTTTTTTATGACATTTGTATCTTACTTAACTCTAATTATACAAAAAAAGCAAATTTTACAAATGCAATATATTTTACAATGTAATACTTTTTACAAACTTTACAAATCGTTGCAATACTTTTGCTTCCTCATAGAGAAAGCTTAGGGCTGATTATTCCAACTTCTCGGTAAGTTTTACTCGACAGGTAGCATATTTTCGTCTCTTTTCAGATAAGTTCTAAAAAAAGAGACGAAGATAAGCTATCTATCGGATAAAATTTACTAAGAAGTTGAAACAACTGGCCCTTAGTTAATTTAAAATCTTTCTACTATTAAGCGATCTTGAATCCGACGTGCAACAGCAAGTGGCCCACGAACATTATAATCCTCAATATTATCAGCATCGTTATTATTTTCGTATAGGACTTCGTTGTGAAACTCATCCAACACATCAGCATATAGTATCCCGTTAGCTTGTCGCATATTATGCAAGACTGCACAGGCATTTACAATTCTTCCCGCAAAACCAGGATCGTATTGCAAAACTCTGTGTCGGGAAAGGCACCTCCAAGTAGCTTTCAATACACCAAAGAGACGTTCGACGCATGTTCTTGCTTTACACAACGCTTCGTTATATGCGAAACGAGGCGTTCCTTCCGACTCTCGAGGTAAAGGCGTTAACAACCACGGTTCTAAAGGATAACCTGAATCACCTGTATGAACAAACAAAATATTTACTTTAACATTCGCAGCTTCTAATATGCAATAAACTCAAATAAAAAGGAAAATGAAAATGACCAATAAGATAGGTTCGTCTTTCACCACGATTGTATGCGCGCTCCATTACTCGTCGTGCAGCAGAAACATTCCAGATATAAGCATCGTGCCGTGCTTCGGGATATCTGGCATTCACGTTAAGTATTTTTAAATCAGGGTCACATATCTGAAGTCAAAAATTAAAAGGAGCTTTTTATTAATATCATATAAAACATGATTGCATAAATCTATCTATTTCAACATTAACCATTTGCACATTTAGTGAATGATATCCATGATGATTCACATATGCTTCTTCATGGATTCTGGGTGCAATAATCGCTACGTGAGAGCAATCAATTGCTCCAATGGCTCCTTCAAATGAATGCCGTGCATTTTGAAATTTCAATTTAGCTTGGTACCTGGCTTCTGCTGTAATGGGAAATTGTATCCACTGTCTAAAAATCAAATTGTTAATTGCATCTGTAACTTTATGCACACATCTACTAATTGAAGATTGACTCATGGATATGCCCCATTGTTCACCCACAGGACGTTGAAAGCAACCCGTGGCATAAAATCTTAGTGCTGCCAGAACCTATAACATACGAAATAAATAACATTACAATAGACTAAATCTAAATCAATTTGAAAAAAATAACTAGGATCATTGTAAAAATAGTGCTTGATTACAATGTATATTACTTGTTTTTCTACGGAGAGACCATTGATTCTTGTCTTCTGCAGTTGGGGTTCTAATACGTCAATAAGATTGAATACTATGTCCGGAGTTAGACGATATAACTGCTTAAATTCTTCATTCGTTAAATCAAATGGATTTTCTGCCATTCGCAATAATTGTCGTTCAACTCTCCGATCAAGACGATTGATATTATTGTCCATCAACATTAAATCTAAACCAACGTAACCAAGGGCCATCCTGAAACAGAGAAATTATTTTATCAGGAAAAAAATTAAATATTTTTTACCAAACGGAGCACTATGTCCACAAAATTGGAGCACAAGACATCTACAAGAAATTTTCAAGCCATTTTTAAGAAGTCTTATGATATCTTAAAAATGTTTTTAAAATATCTCGGATTCTTATAGATCTTGTACTCCAATTTTGTGGACATAGTGCTGTCTTTTGCTCCTATTTTGGACATATTTTAATTTTGGTGCTCTCTGTAGTATTTCAACAAAATAAAATTCACATATAGAAAAATTTTTTTTCAAAATTATTGTTTCAGCGGTTTTATTAATTGTTCACCACAGTAGCTCCAATTTTAACATTTCAAAATAAATATGTCAACATATTAGTAAAGACAAAGTTTATTAAAAATATTTATACTTACTTTTAATTTGTATGTATTATCATATTAGCTGCAATTTTTCTTGAAACTTTTAATAATAGGTTACTCCGTTTGGATACACACACGTATCAATATATTTCACACTACTATATCACCTACTTTACACCGACTCACACCGACTATCGTTAACTGTTAGCGAGACCTCTGGCAACCATCGCAAACGTATCGACGCGATTACGACATTTTTCGGAATTTAACGAATTGATTTATCGAAAGTTGTCGATAACTGTAAAATACAGAATCACCTTTTGCGACAATCATCAATAACAGCAATTAACGATATCGATAATTATCGTTAAGGAGTTACAGAATCCCGGCCCTGGGTTTCGGTTTATTTGGCGTCCTGCTGAGTGGACGGGTGTGAAGCTTGCTCGGGCCCCTGTCGCACACCCGACGTCGAAGGCCCATTGTAGTTTCCCTGGTCTTTTTCTTTTCAACGATTATTACTCGCGATCCGTAATTGACAGTTTTCAAGAAGATGCCCTTGTGCCTTACAATATCGACAAAAGGAGTTGGTTATAGGTGTTGAATTCGTTCTAGCGCGGCAATCCTTAGCGACATGTCCTATTTTGTTGCAAATTTGACAAGTCACGGTAGTTTTATTTGTTAATTTGCGTTGTTCATTTTGTTTCTTCCAACAATTATTAGCTGAAAGACCAGTTTTATCGCACCATTGACAAATTACAGAGGGTTTATTGGCTTGATTATTGTTATTATTTTGACGACATAGTTTCGCGTCGTGTCCGGCTTTAGAACATAATTGACAGGTTATAATTCGTTGTTGGATTACATTTACTGGTTGGCGATATTGAGGATCGCGCAGGCGACATTTATCTGCACTGTGTCCGCATTTTTTACAAATCTGGCAAATCAGAATTTCGGTTCCCAACCCTCCTGGAAGTTGACCCAAAGAGGATGACTGTGTGAGCTTCCTGCAGTTACTAGCCACGTGTCCTTCTTTATAACAGATCTGACAAGTTTCTCGTATTCGCGGCTTATTTTGACCTGAGTGAGTGTTTTGTCCCTGTCGTAAATCTGTCATTGCCCGAAGTTCTCTTTCTATCCTTAAGGCGTCAGCAACGGTTCCATGCACGTCTAAGTCTCTAATTCTCTGTTCTATTTCGGGTTTGAGTCCTCGGATAAAACATTTGCACATGTCATCTTCTAATGATGCTTTTATATTTTGATCAGGTAAAAAACGACTAGTACTGCGGTATGCTTCTAAAATCTGTTTTCCCAGCAATTTTACGCGATTTGCATACGTGACTACATCTTCTTCAATTTTTTGGTAAATGCGTCCTAATTCTTCTTGTAGTATGTATACATTTTTAGAAGGTCCGTAAATTTGTTTTAAATATGAAGTTAAATTGGATACTGTGTCAAAATCTTGATCTTGGATGGTTCGTCGGGCTTCGCCGACTATTCGGGTTCTTATAACTTTGGTAAACTGTGTTTCAGCTTCTTTAGGTAACATGGATTTAGCTTCCTCACATCCTTCAATAAAATAACTGAGCGGAATGTTTTTACCATTGAAAAAAGGAACGGCTTCAACCGCGTATTTTAAGATAGCAAATGGGTTTTGGTGAGTCATGGTTTCGGACCTATCAAAATCTTTTTCTGCTTTATAAATAAGAGTATTAGTAAGTGTGTAATATTCTTGGCAAGTTATATCGCCGGAATTGTCAGAATTTGGCTCGGGTGTGTCGGCTATTAAAATAGTATTGTTTATGCTTGTGTCTGTGTTCTCTAAAGAAAGATCGAAATGTCTTGATATAGATCCTCCCCCCCCCCCAGTTCTTTTTGGAGTAGATGTATGAGGTAAACCAGAAGTAGATGATGTAATTTCAATTTTAGATTTAGATTTTTTTCTCTTCTAAAGCGAGTTTGTAAAATTTTTCTACTTCTTTTTTATCGGCTTTACCTCGAGTCCCGTCACTCATTCCCGTTTCCTTGAATCGCACATATCAATCCTGGACGAGCCCCCAAGATTTACGTATGTTACGTCCAGGCCCGAGGAAGGATGGCCCGAAGGAAGGGCGTAACACGTGTATCCCGAGAACAGGTGCCTTAAGGGCAAGTGTCTCGGGTCGAGCGAGCCTGCGGGTGAGCCAAAGATAGGTCAACGACCACAAGAGTCGATTTTACGCTATTTCTGGTCCAAATGGCCGCTCGTCAGTTCCCTTTTCGGTAAAGGAACTTAATCCCTTTTACCCGGGACGGGACCAAGTGCGATTCAGGAGCGCGGGAAACGAGGGGGAATCGATTAAGTTGAATGCAAAAGAATAGATTTAATTAAGTTTATTACACATTATAAAAGCCAAACGAAAACATTTATATATAAAGTTAAGTATCTATGTAAATATCTTAATCTTGATTAAGTACAATATTAAGTATAATCGTGTGTGGGTGTGTGTGTGTGTGTATGCGAGACGGAGGGAGTCTGGTCAGGGTCAGGAGGATATCTCTCTCTGAAGAATTCTACGGGGATAGCGATGGGGTATCTGGTGAAGGGAGTAAAGCAAGATATGGGAATGTTGGAAGGAGCGGTGCGGAGAAAGGCCTTGAGAATTGGAATATGAATAGGACCAGGGCCCAAAGTGAATTGACCCGGGAGGATGGGGTGAAAGTACAGAGGGTAAGTCAAGCTGAGAATTTCGGAGACGATCCGATCACTAAGATCGATGTCGGAGTAAACAGGGGGAGAAAGAGGAGGAGGAGACAAGAGATGAGGATCTGGGAGGGTTGCGTCGGGTGGAGAAGGAGAGGGTGATAGCGGTGGGAAATCAAATTGAAGGTCAGGTTGTGTGTCATGCACTGGGGAAGCTTGGAGGAAGAGTTCCCGGAGACAGGTACGGGGAGTAATTGTGGGGGAAGGTGTGCGAGGGGGCGGATATGAGGAGTCTCGCGTGTCTCCTTGAAAATTATTTAGAAAGATCCGCGTAATAGGGAGATCCGTGTTAATTTGATTTAAGTCTAGTGTGAATGAAGAGTCGGCCGCAGCCCGAGCCAGCAGTCGGCGGGTACGTCGATTACGGGTACGTCGATCGAAATCGCTTAGCGTGGGTTCTAGCGGATTTCCTTGGGTTCCACTAGGGAAACGAGTATTATAAGTAAAGGAAGTAGACGGGGGAGGGGGAGAAACTTTGAAGATAAAAGAAAAGACTTACTATTTGCGAAAGGCGATTACAAGTGGAGAAGATAGACGTAATGGCTGCTAGGTCCCCTTTTCGTGTCGAAGACGAGACGGTGTTCTGGGTTGACTTGTTATGTGTAAAGCTGACAGGAACGACTGAATTTTCGCACTGACTCTATATGAAGGTTGATATGTACGTCTCGAAACTTTTGCGATACTGAGTGCGTATATATGAACGCGTGAGTCAATGAATGAATGATTAATGATTGACTGAACGAATTTTTCTCTGACAGTGTTGTTCGAAGTTCGCGCTTATATATCGTTTTGGATTACCCTCTCCTAGCGTGAGGAATAAGGGAGGTTGACGAATAGAAATCTTTGTTAGATTTCCATGGTCTCCTCTCTGCCCCTACTTATGAGCATTTTAGAACAAATGTAGCAAATCAGAATTTTATTACGTTTGTTCGCGAATAGGAGAGCATCTTCCACAATGGGGGAATTAGGATTCTCAGTATCGCAGGTGGTAGTAATTTATGCACAAGGGATGACTGTTACTCTTGCGATATCCGGTCACTCACGTTTTATGATTAGTTTCCTTTATTTTTTTTTGATTTTATGAGTTTTTAAGAAAATATCAAATTTGTTCGACTGAATGCCGCTTTATTTAGCCGGATGGTACTTTTATAGCTCACTAACATCCGATTGTTATTTTAGGGCATGTACTGAGGATCCCGCTTTAATCTAGCCATTATTATCGGCTCTGGAAATCGTGCACGTGTGCACAGGATACGGAAAAGAAAAGAATCGTGAACTCCACTGGACGTAACACATTCATACACACTCTTTAAAAATGAATCAGAGTACTGAAAACAGTAAACAGAATTACTGATATACAGTTCATATGCAGTTATTATAGCACTGTAAATCAATAATATTTCGGTAATAGAATTAGTAACATTGACTGTTTTATTTAGTAATATTGTATTAATCTATCTTTATACTTCGTATAAAATTAAAAATTTTATTTACATTTATATTGCATATTAAAACATAAATGTTAAATAGATGATGATTTATTTTACATCTTTAATATATAATGAACAGATCATTTTTCTTTATTCGTCGGACATGTCCGACTTATAATATCGATTTAATATCTGAAATTCTTCTATTGAGATTGTATCAGAAATTAAATCGAAGTGATACTTTTAATTTTATCTGTCGCCATTTGTAAGCTTTATATAATCCTAATGACTAAAACGTAAGTACGAGAAAAATAGCGCCCCATAATGGTAAACAAACGAACTAGCGATTACTGATTTTGCGATAAAATTTTACTTCCACTGACTATAATTAATAAGATATAAGATAAAGTAACAAAAAAGAAGCTACTAGAGATCAATGAAATACTGATTCAATTAGTGATCTTATCCATATATTTGTAAATAGAAATTAATATAGTATATTTTCATACTAATTATATATATGTGTGTGTGTGTGTGTATACACACACATATATAATTAGTATGAAAATATACTATATTAATTTCTATTTACAAATATATGGATAAGATTACTAATTGTAAGAATCAGTATTTCATTGATCTCTAGTAGCTTATTTTTTGTTACTTTATTTTATATCTTATTAATTATAGTCAGTGGAAGTAAAATTTTACCGCAAAATCAATAATCGCTAGTTCGTTTGTTTACCGTTATGGCGCGCTATTTTATATATGTATGTATGTATATGTATATGTATGTACATATGTATATATAGGTTAAAATTAATTTGAAATTAATAAAAATTAGTTTTTATTTTGTCTATAGAAACGTAAAAAATACATTTCCTTAACTATGATTTTAAAAGCGTTTCTATAGGAACGTTTCTTATTAATGCTTTACGGTTAAAAAATATTGGATATGTTTAAGAAACGTATATAAAACGATATGTAAAATGTATATAAAACCGTGTGCTACTTGCATAGCGATTACTGATTTTGCGGTAAAATTTTACTTCTACTGACTATAATTAATAAGATATAAGAAAGTAACAAAAGTAACAAAAAAGTAACAAAAAAGAAGCGTTTCTACTAGAGATCAATGAACTGATTACTGATTCTTACAATTAGTAATCTTATTCATATATTTGTAAACAGAAATTAATATAGTATATTTTCATAATAATTATATATGGTATATATGTATGTATGTATGTATATGTATATGTGTATGTACATATAGGTTAAAATTAATTTGAAATTAATAAAAATTAGTTTTTATTTTGTCTATAGAACGTAAAAAATACATTTCTTTAACTATGATTTTAAAAGCGTTTCTATAGAAACGTTTCTTATTAATGCTTTACGGTTAAAAAATATTGGATGCGTTTAAGAAACGTATATAAAACGACCGTGTGCTACCTGGGGAGCCAACAAAACATCATTTGCGGGAAGTTTTATTTTTCCTGTTTAATTCAAAGAAAAGTGCTGCTGAAAGTTATCGAGTGCTGTTGGAAACTTACGGTGAACATACTCCATCGATAAAAACATGTGAGTATTGATTTCGACGTTTTAGAAGTGGTGATTTCGATACAGTTGACAAAGAATGCTCTGGTCAACCGAAAAAGTTCGAAGATGAGAAATTGGAAGCATTACTCGACCAAGATTCATGTCAAACGCAAGATGAACTTGCTGAATTGTTGAATGTGTTGATCGTACAACAGTTTCTAAACGTTTAAATGCACTCGGCATGATTTAAAAGCAGGGAAATTGGGTGCCATACGAATTAAAGCCGAGAGATGTTGAACGGCGATTTTTCACGTGCGAACAATTGCTTCAACAGCAAAAAAGAAAGGGTTTTTTGCATCGTATCATCACTGGCGATGAAAAATGGATACGCTACGATAATCCTAAGCGTAGAAAATCATGGAGTTTGCCTGGTCATGCATCAACATTGACGGCAAGGCCGAATATTCATGGTTCGAAGCTCATGATCTGTATGTTTGGTGGGACCAGCTTGATGTTGTGTACTATGAGCTGCTTCAACCGAATGAAACCATCACTAGTGAACGCTACCGAACACAATTGATGCGTTTGAGCCGTGCATTGAAGGAAAAACGGCCGCAATTCGAGCAAAAGCACGATAAAGTAATTTTTCAACATGACAATATCGACCATATGTTGCTCGTGTAATCAAGAAATACGTAGAAACGCTGAAATGGGATGTTTTACCCCACCCGCCATATTCACCAGATATTGCTCCATCGGATTACTACTTGTTCCGATCCATGGAACACGGCCTGGCTAAGCAGCGCTTCCAATCTTACGAAGATACGAAAAATTGGATCGCATCAAATTGGTGGATAGCATCAAAACATGAGTTGTTCTTTCGACGCGGAATCCGTATGCTGCCAGAAAGATGGGAAAAAGTAGTGGCTAGCGATGGACAATACTTTGAAAAATACTATAATAATGTACACAATTTTTCACAATAAAACCTTGAATTTACAAAAAAATCCCTCAAAATTAATTCACAGTCCTAGTACTAATGTCTGTAAATATACACCTTTAATAGTTAGTCTCAATATTACCCACTATAAATGTAAATTTACACAAAAATTTTTTACAGTGTATGCAGGGCGCAATAAGCGATATGCTAAGGAGCACTATGCCATTAATAATACGCGAATTACGCGAACTACACTGACTTTGACTCGGAATCTTAATAATGCACCCACGATATACTGTTCAAGAGTGATGAATAGGAATCACTCAGCTGATGGCTCGAGCGGCACTGCAAAGCACGAAATATGTATTTTCGCGACAGCTGGAATGTACTGATATAGTTATATCGCGCACCTCTTTTTCTCGATTGTTTTTATGAGTTCGCTTACCCTCGCGTCAATGATTTCACTCGCACTCTAGGCACTTCTGTTCGTCTCTCTTACAGATCCGGCTCGAAGGATCATTCAGTGTAGCCGTGCCTTCGATTAACACGATCGCATTAAAAATATTTATTTTTTTCGTCGGTGAGAGAGGTAGCCGAAATCACAAGAGTTAAATTATTTTTATTTAAGAAAAAAAAAATCTTCTCTTAAGTGGCGTCTACAATGAGATTTTAAGGAGACTTAAGGTGTAAGACTTAAGAAATTGACCAATAACAGTCAAGTATTAAGAGAACATTCGATTGTGATTAGTCAATTTCTTGAGTCTTACGCCTTAAGTCTCCTTAAAATCCCATTGTAGACGCCGCATTACGGACCGCCCGAGCGCGTTTCGAACTTCAGCTCGTGAAACAAAGTAATATTTTTACGGACAAAGATGAGCGGCGTGTATTTCGTGTGACTTCTAGTTGTACAATGAATCTTTTTGAGAACAAGGAATAAGATAACGAATTATCCAAACAAAACATCGAGTCAGATCGTTCGATTATTTCGACCAATCGTAGATCGACAAAGATACTTTTGATGGAAGATATGTTTGTCTTGATCTGGATATTGACTCTTTGACGTAAAGCCCGAAAAAACTAAATCAAAATATCTGCCTTTGTTCGCAAAAATAACGTTTCATTTGAGAATTATTCGAGAAGACTCTTAAATCTAACGACTTTATAATATAATACAAACTTTCTTGAACAACTTTTTAATTTCTTTATTATTTTTTAAAGGTGAGTAAAAAAACTTATTAAAAAGTTTATTCGTAATAATAACTAGTATAATTATTTTTTAAAATATTACTTATTTTAGAGTATATGATATTTAATGTGATCCGCTGATCCTTCCCTAGTAATTTCTACATCGCCTTCTTTACCCTTGTCTTTCGATATCATTGATTCAAATTCTCTGGATTCCTCAATTGAAGATGTCGTATAAGTACTCTTCTCGTTGAATGTAACGTCTCTAATTACCGAAATTCTTTTGGTACTGGGATTGAAGAGGCGATAGCTCGCAGTATTTTCTTGATATTCTACGAGAATAACTTTCCTTGCTTTAATATCTTTTTAAGGCATAAATAATATTAATAAACGCTTATAAATAAATTTTAAAATATAAAAATTAGTAAGATAGTAAAAAAAGGAACTGTGTGGAAAAAATATTCTATGTAAAATTTTGAGTTAAGTTTATTCAAGATTAAAAGAAAAAGATCAGTGTTTAAGATTGTAAAATTAATTTTCGTTTTGAAAATTATGAGATTATAATTGCTGATGAACTGTTGACTCCTGATCTGTTATAAAACTTTATTTTGCCCATTAGAATTGCAACATTAGAGATCAGTTCCATCGGTTAAATTTTTCACGTGATGATTCCTTTGTCCGCAAGAATTTATCTTTTCCTGCATAGACATCTCTCCTAATGTAATAGTATGCGTTGAAGCACTTGACGATATTGTATTCGTTGTGGATTGAGCTTTTGTAATAAATCCACTGCATCCGAATCGCTTCAGTAACATCCGTTTGATCTTTTTTTTGCACACAAATATGATAAATGTGCAGAAATTTTGTACAATGTCCATCAAATTAATAGCATATGAAGTGTAAATTGATAAATTTCCAGACAACCATGTTGCTGTCATCAGGGACCATTTTATGCCAATTACTATAAACAGCATGATAAATAGCTTCAGATACAAATTGAACCTGCAAACAAACAAACATATAATAACAATTATAAATACTATTAATCAAGTTATCTTTTTCATTTTTATTTTTGAATTCATTAATCACATTACATTGCTTCTTAGCTCACAATCAGTGAGCAATTGTGTTTCTGCATGCTCCTATTATATATAATAATGTGATTCTCACTTTACCTTTTTTTGATTAGATTAGATATTTTATATATAATTGCATATAAAATTTTACAAAAAAAATTTATATATGCGAAACTTTATCTTCTTTTTTCAAATTTGATTTTTAAAAAAATAATGAAAAAATACTCTTTAAAAGTATTCTATATATATTTTAAATGCATGATTGTTGATCAATAAAATAAATATAATTTTATTTCAACTTCAGGGTCTTTAAAAAGTTCCGGAATGCTAAAATATCTCGAAAACGAACACTTTAATAAAAAACTATAATAAAAAATATGTAAGAGACAAAGTTGTAGGACTAAATAAAATGCACCTAATGATGATAAGAATTTAAGACCTTAGATGAAGTACTCAAGATCATGAAGGTCAGGTTGTTTTTTTTTAATGAAACTCCCTATTTTTTATTATATATTCTTATAGCTTATTTCAACAGCTTTCCAAAACACTATAATTAAGTATTTTTTCGTTAGGTACATCTCGACGAGTTATGAGGCTTGAAATCATTTCTTAATTTTACATAAACCGTAAAATGTCTTGTAAAATATTCATTTTTCGATTACCTCACCTTAATATTTTTATGTACAAAATAATGAGAGGAATTAATTGGTCTAAAGAAAACACATAGTTGTTTCGAAAAAAAATGTAATTGTTAATTGCAAATTACATTTTTTTTCGAAACAATTATTTGTTTACATCAATTGATCCTCTCATTATTTTCTACATAAAGTATTAAAGTGAGATAACCGAAAAATGTATATTTTACAAGACATTTTACGGTTTATGTAAAATTAAGAAATAATTTCAAGCTTTATAACTCGAGGTGTATCTAAAGAAATAATACTTAATTATATATTTATTCGGAAAGCTCTTGAAATAAGCTATAAGAATATAAAAAAAAAATGGAGAGTGCCATTTAAAAAATCAACTTGACCTTCATATGACCTTGAGTACTTCATCTACGGTCAAATTCTTATCATGATTAAGTACATTTTATTTAGTCCTGCAACTTTGTTTCTTACATATTTTTCATTATAGTTGATCGTTTTCGAGATATTTTAGCGTTCTTGGACTTTTTGAAGACCCTGTATATTAAGGCTAAATTTACATGTTAATAGAAAGAAAAAAAGAATAGAAATATATATATATATATATATATATATATATATATATACAGGGTGTTGAAAAATTAAGTGCCATAAATTTGTGTGATGAAAGAAGGAATCAATATAAGCATTTTAAGTATAGGAACCGTGGGTCGGCGACGCTTAGTTACGGCGTGACAAGGGTTTAATTAAATTGTCACAATGTCTGCAATACAATGATTTTATTCGGTTAATTTTAGATGTTTATAATAAATGTTCGAAATTACGACCGCCAACGTTCCGACAAAAATCAGAACGACGGAGCAATGATTCCCGCGTTCTTTGGAATATTCCAGGAGTTTGTCGGATAGTTTCAGACGCCTCAACGATGCGAGCGACCAGATCCTCCTTGGATTCAACCGGTTCGGAATAAATCATATTTTTCATTGCAGAAGTAGAAATCGAGAGGCGTCAAATCTGGTGACCTTGCAGGCCACGCCACAGGTCCATCCCGCCCGATCCATCTGTTGCCGAAAGTCTCTGTCAGATGATTGCGTGCTTCAGCCGTAAAGTGCGCTGGGGCACCGTCGTGCTGAAACCACATGACTCTTCTGATTGCGAGTGGTACTTCCTCCAAAAGTTCCGGCAGGACTTGCTGCAGAAATATTAAATAATTGTGTCTATTGAGTCTGGGAGGCATAAGATAGAGCTCGCGTAGCAGACGTTGTGACAATATTCCAAAGAACGCGGGAATCATTGCTCCGTCGTTCTGATTTTTGTCGGAACGTTGGCGGTCGTAATTTCGAACATTTATTATAAACATCTAAAATTAATCGAATAAAATCATTGTATTGCAGACATTGTGACAATTTAATTAAACCCTTGTCACGCCGTAACTAAGCGTCGCCGACCCACGGTTCCTATACTTAAAATGCTTATATTGATTCCTTCTTTCATCACACAAATTTATGGCACTTAATTTTTCAACACCCTGTATACATATATACAGGGTGAGCCATTTTAATCTATAATTGCAAATTTCTCCAAAACTATGCCAGATACAAAAAAATGATTGCTATGAAAATTGTAGAGGATGAAGGGGGACATCTGACTGTGCCAATAACTTTGACCTTGAGATCAATTTTCAAGGTCATTTGAAGGTGAAGGTCATTTTTAAAAATTAGAACCCCTATTTTTGACACCGGATTTAGAAGGAGCGTAAAATTTTACGTTAGAAGTGATATTTGAAAAAAAAATCTGAGCTCAAGAAGGTCAAAATCAAGGTCAATAATTAATTATTAATTTTTTGGTTTTTTTTTACTCTTATTTTTAGCGTTACCCGGAAATAACGACGTGGACGTAGTAAGTTCTGTTTCCTTCAGGGTGCTTTATTTTTGTGAGTCCCCTTGCCTCTCAGTATTTTATCAATCACCCACGGAGTAGCTGTTCGAAATTGCCTCCGTTTGCTCCAAGGCACAAATTCATACTTGATTGAAATTGAAACCAAGCTTAGCATTAGAGTATTGTAACTGTAAAACACATTTTTAAAAATGGCTGACTATCCTCCTAATGAAATTGTTGATATGATATTAATTTTAGGGGAATGTCATAACAATTGTGCTGCTGCGTCAAGGCTTTATGCTCAATGTTTTCCAGGTAGGAGACATTCAAGCAACATAACAATAAGAGGATTGACTCAAAGAGCTCGCAATGGACATCTTGTTCGGCAACGACGATGTCATGATTATAACGAAAATGATGCGCGAGCTCTTGCTGTTCTAGCAATGGTTCATTATGATCCTTATATTAGTACTCGCCAAATTGAAAGAGAAACAGACCACAAAGAACAGTTTCAAGAATTTTAAAAGCTCTAAAGTATCATCCATATCACATCACTATAACACAAGCTTTAAGGCCGAATCATTTTCAATTGCGTATAGACTTTTGCCAATGGGCTTTACGAAAAATACAGGATGATCCTCATTTTTTTGAGTACGTGCTTTTCTCTGATGAGGCCACATTTTATAGCGACGGACAACTTAATAGACACAATTGTCATTATTGGTCGGATGAAAACCCTCACTGGTACAGACCTTTAGACCATCAAAATCGATGGGATCTTATGGTATGGTGTGGAATGGTAAATGGCTATTTAATTGGTCCTTATTTTTTTGAAGAAAATGTTAATAGGAACAGCTACTTACAGTTGCTAAGAGAGCACCTACCAGGGCTATTAGAAAATGTTGACTTAGCAACTAGACAGAGAATGTGGTTCCAACAAGATGATGCACCGCCACATTACGCACTCATCGTCCGTGCCTTTTTGAATAATCAATAATAGGTGAATAGGACGAGGTGGTCCAGTTGCGTGGCCTCCTTGCTCACCAGACCTCACACCGCCAGACTTTTATTTGTGGAGATACTTAAAAAATGTTGTTTTTGCTCAACGGACTACAACAAAGGATGATATGATGGAACGCATTCGCAGAGCCTGCGCAGCTGTCCCTAGAAACACTTTGCTTTCAACAGTGAGAAATTTTGAGCGACGTTTAAATTTGTGCCTTGGAGCAAACGGAGGCAATTTCGAACAGCTACTCCGTGATAAAATACTGGTGAGAAAATACTGGTGAGAAGCAAGGGGACTCACAAAAATAAAGCACCCCAGATGTGAGAGGCAAGGGGACTCACAAAAATAAAACACCCCGAAGGAAACAGAACTTACCACGTCCACGTCGTTGTTTCCAAGTAATGCTAAAAATAAGAGTAAAAAAAAACCAAAAAATTAATAATTAATTATTGACCTTGATTTTGACCTTCTTGAGCTCAGATTTTTTTTTCAAATATCACTTCTAACGTAAAATTTTACGCTCTTTCCAAATCCGATGTCAAAAATAGGGGTTCTAATTTTAAAAAATGACCTTGACCTTTAAATGACCTTGAAAATTGATCTCAAGATCGAAGTTATTAGCACAGTCAGATGTCCCCCTTCATCATCTACAATTTTCATAGCAATCATTTTTTTGTATCTGGCGTAGTTTTGGAAAAATTTGCAATTATAGATTAAAATGGCTCACCCTGTATATATATATATATATATATATATATATATATATATATAACATATATTTGACAGTTTGACAGTTTTTAACAAACACTTAAAAGAAATAAAGTTAAAAAAAGGGAAAAAAGAAGATAAAGGAGAAGGAGAGGCGAATAGAAAGATATATATATATATATTTATATTTATATTTATATATTTATTATATATATATATATATATTTATATATTTATATATTTATTATATATATATATATATATATATATATTACATATATATATATATATATATCTATTCGCCTCTCCTTCTCCTTTATCTTCTTTTTTCCCTCTTTTTAAATTTATTTCTTTTAAGTGTTTGTTACAAACTGTCAAACTGTCAAATTATTTGAATGATACGAGTAAAGCGAATAAAACAATCAATCAACAATGCAAAAACCGGACAACACACTTCGAGACTTTCCGGTATCAACATAATATGCCTTTATAAAAAGATATTAATTAAAAGAAAAAAAAGAAGCAAAAATACTGTCACACAAATTATCATACCTTTCTTTTATCAGAATTGATTGATTATATAATGTTGTTAATAGAGATGTTATTAAAAATATCGACACAAATATCATTTACAAGATAGATTATTACACATTGATAAATGTTTATTAGATACAGACCATTTCTTATTGTCATTATATTGCTTGCTTTCTGAATCTGTCAAACGAAGGCCTGTTTCCTTTTCGTAACGCGCGATCTTCACTGCCGTAGAAATGGAAAAGCAAATGCTACTAATGATACAGATACTTTTGATTCCGTAAAAATACAATATAAACGTTCCAGTATCTGTAAGTATAATATGTAAAGAATTTTCTATTTCTCATGATATATAAAATGCAACATTAATAGATAATAAAAAATAATGATAAATAATAAATCGATTCTATAATAAATGCAATCTGTTCACTTACCAGCGAACGAGCAATCACCTTCGCGAAATCCCGGTCGCAAAATTTCCGGCAAATTTTCGGAAGCAAAATCCATAATGATAGAAATAATAGCGAGGATAAAAGGTATACCCCACGCACAGATCGCATAAAGAATTAACTTTTTTTTTTCTCGATTTTTGACGTTTCTTTGTAACGAAGAAAATCCTCTGCAAAACGTAATTTACACGTCATATTTAGTCAAAATAAAAATCAGATAAAAGAAATTACAATGTAAATACGTGTTAAAATAATGTTTGCCTTTTATCGAGATTTTCTCAAACATCCATTCTACAAAAGTAAATTTACATATAATACGACAACTGTCCGATTACAATGATTTATAAGATATCATAAGATATCAATATATAAGATATCGATACATAATTAATAAAGATCATTTTTCAATATATAACATATTGATACATAATTAATTAAGATCAATTTGATTTGGTATAACATTCATATAACCGTCAGAAACTAGCATACATTTATATATCATGTGCAGACATCATAATGGTAATTTAAATTTTAATTTAGTTGTAAGAAACATATTTTTGATAAAAAAATTAAAAATTTATTAATATTTTTTTTATATAAGAAAAAGGAAAGAAATTAAAGCAATATATAGATATTTTAAATACATAAATATAAATATTAATTTATGATATTTAAAAAATGCTGTTACATTAAAAAAAGTTTGTTACATTATGTCGCGAATTATTAAACTAGTTAATAATATTTTATAAATATTTCATAATGTTTCATATTAATTATCATTAACTAATGTTATCTTCATTTTGAAAAATTTAATTTGATTTTACCAAAATAAGAAATTAATCACTTAAAAACCTTTATGCAATGATAAAAACTGTTTATTTGAAGTTGTAATTTTATTATCTTTAGACTATAAACTTTTCATAAACCAAGTAGTTGCTTATACTATCACGTAATAACATAATATGATAAACAACTCTTTGTTTAATTCAATGATATCATTCCGTGTTTTTGTCTTTTCATGTAGGTATATACTACAAAATACATTTATATATTACAGAAAATTATATTGTAGCGTCGTATTTTATAACATAAATCAATACAAAATTAAGTTAATATTATGCAAGATAAAGATAATATGAAAAATTTAGTAACTTACCTAAATGTCCACCACATGTCGAAACTCATTATATTTAGCCAGAAAAAGCTTGCTAAAAACCAAAAGTATTGGAAGGAAGCTATGAAAATAAAATAAATAACATTTTAAACATTAACAACATGTTAAAATGGGATTTATAACTACCATTATAATTTTTCTTTAAAAAAAAATATATATCTTTTTTTTAGTATAGAAAAATTAGAATATATATATATATATATATATATATATATATATACATATATATATTCTAATTTTTCTGAACTAAAATTTTATATTAATATATATAATAAATATTAATATACGTAATAAATACGTACTGATTTAAATTAAATAATAACTCAATTCAAGATATAACTCTTTTAAAATACAAAAAAAATATATTTACATAGCTAACTTAATTATATGTATATACGCGCACGTTAAAGTTATATATTAAAATATACCTAAAATTTAAATTTTACTCACTATTAATCCTTGCATTTTTGAAATTTTAACAAATTATTTTCAAGTTATTAAAAAGAACAATTAGAGAATAATTTATATTTGGCGAATGTGCACTAGTATGTCTACCAAACACATATGTTGCATTGATTGCATAATTATGTGATTTAGATATACTATACCTATTGTAACACAGATGGGATACTCTACAGCATCCGATTTAATATAAATATTTGCAATGTCGATTGTGTATGCGACGGACAAGGTACCGCTATAACTGCGCAACATGAAAGCGTGTATGTTCCGGAGATCTGACAATATGGAATACACTAGAAATATTGATATCAAAAATATTATAGATACAATATGGAAGCTCATATATATGTTTTGAATCAACGAGTAATTATCATCATTATCAGCTACTTTCTTAAGGATCTCGTCAAGAGTTTCCGAGCAGATAATTACTTCGAATTTATCTCCCTCTGTAATGGCGAGACAATATGATGTCGACTTAGCAAATATTTTATAAGAAGATATATAGAGAGAACCGTTAGCAAAAAACATGTATTGAAAACCATCGGGAAGCAGGGTGCGATTTTCCTGACATGGATCATAAATAGTCAGTTGAAACAATTCATCTACCGTTTTATTTTCGCTCTGCAACGAATCATTCGTGTATTTGTATACATTCGGAAGAAAATATTTAATTTTTTCCGGGATGCATCTATCTATGTCGCCATCTAGGCGATCGCCAGGAGAACAACAGAGTTGAATGCAAGTAATATTGTCAAGTTGACATGTTTCATATGAAACGATGTTACTTATATTGCTTTCTTTATTGGAATTTTCAAAGAATTCGTGTGACGTAGAATTGTTGTTGTCTTCAATATTCATCAAATTTCCATAAATTTCCTTTAATGTAAAATTTCTTTTATAGTTGGCATTTGTTGAATTCGTTTGAGATCCCATCGGTATTTGTTTATCACTCATATGATTCTGTGTAGAAGGTGTGCTAAGTTTATATCGTATCGTGTCATCATTATTACTCATGGAAATGGTGTGAAATTCATTCTGCATATTGTCGTACTGCGTATTGTTAGTAGATTTTTCATACAAATCATAAGACAGAGTTGTTATTTTGTCGCCATAGTTTGTTGTAGAGTCTAACTCATATCGTATCGTTATATTATCATTTTTCTCTTCGTTGCTCATGAAACTTTGCTCAGATTTCGATAACGAAGCGATGAGTAGAAAAAACGCATAACACCAAAATTTCTTGAAATTTTTTTCACACATTGTTAATATTATCATTTTGGATCGAATTTACACCTGAAAAATACATATCTGATTCTTATCTACAGTAATTTTATAGTCAGATGTTCAAATGCAACGATATGTGAATTACGAATTGGAAAATAGTTAATATCGTTATACAAAAATTACATTAATATTCGCGATGATTTGATCATGACAAATCATTTTGTCTTAGTTTTTACGATCGAAGAAGTTACTTTTGCAGAATTTACTCTCGCATATATCTGTTAGGAAGAGAATTAATGCTGATAGAACAGAACCTCGATAAGGACCGAAAGATATTTTGATTCTTTTAGTAATGCTGGGAACTGTTGTTAGGCTTTTGAATCATATTCTTTTATTTCTTTCTAGAATATATAGTTTAATGAATGAATGGCATGCGTGAATAATGCACTTCATTTTTAAATATTTGATTTTAAAAGCTTTTAATAACTTTATTGTTTAATACACGATCAATTTTTATCTCACTAGGTTCAAGAAAATTAATACTACATCCGGTTTTGACTTCTCTTTTCGAGATGAATGAAAGAAGAATGCAAAAAATATGTGCCCGCACAAACGAGAAGATGAGACTAACCGAGGACGACAAGTCGTACGAGTAGTAGAAGAACATTCTATCTACTGTTGTACACATACATATAACTATTACATATACAAAGTAAAATTTCATTGGCAAACTTCTACAGACGATAGCTGATCAATTCAGCATCGAAATAATGCTGTTTTTTAAATGTTTAATGCTGGAATGAGAAGTCTTTATATTTTTAAAGATTCTATTTTAAAGATATATTAAAATAGAAAATATATTGATATACAGCAGCATCCAAATAACATAAATATTTTAAATATTTATAATATTTTGTAAACTTATATTAGATGTTTTAGTTATTTAAATATTGAGTTAAAAAATTTCTTTTAAAAATCAATCAATATAGCATATGCTTAAGAAAAATTCTATTTATATCTAACAAATTTACTAATCTTATTGTTATTTTTAAGTTACAAGAAAGAGGTAATCAAAAGATTATACAAATATTGTAAAAAATTACGCTAATATATCAGTTATCGTTATTCGCTAAAACTCCGCTCCGATAAGTATAATCTGTTAATATAAAAAGCGGTTTGAATTCGAGATTTGTATCTTAACAGTGATCTCATGATTATTTAATTGAAATTTAAAAATAACGATAGGTCAGGTAGTGATATGACTTAATTTCATGTTCGATTCTGATTTTTGATAAAGAAAAGAATTTTCTATAAAAAAACATGTATTTGAACAACAGGATAAGATTACCAAGGACAATAAATCGTCGATAGCATTCAAGTAATCTGATGCAAACCATATGACATATTTAACGACAAAAAAAACGATATGATAAATTTCTATATATAATAATTTGAGCATCTTCAAAAATCAATATAAATTTTAACATTTATTATTTTAATACTTCGATTGGACATCATTACATTTTGTAAGAATTACCAAAACTCCAATTAGATTTCGGAGTAATACAATGAACAAATAATGAAAATGTTTAATTATACCAGGTATATATATATATGCATATATATATATGCATATATATATATATATATATATATATATATATATATATGCACAGTGGAGGAAATTATTTAAAAAAACATTTATTGAATATTAATGCTGCAAAAAAAATCAATTAATCATTTATTATAGTTATATAAGGATCATAGTTATATAAGGATTATAGTTATATAAGGATCATTATCTGCTAATTTGGATAGTTTTTTTTCTCAATAAAGATGTCAGGATTATTTAGAGAGCTTTTTTCAATAAAAATGTCACGGCATTAATAATTACAAAAATATAAACAATTCAAAAAGAAAAGTTCTTCACAAATTAAACTTTATGTTGGAGAGAATTAAAAGATTATCAAAACTATATTCTTTAGTTAATTTCAGAGATGAGTTTACTTTAATAGAATTTTAATTTAAAACTTTAACTTTAAATTTAACTTTACAAAGTTACAAAGATATATGATGGTAAAAATTAGAAACTTGCAAGAAGATAACTTTCGTCAACATTTTGACTGAGGAAAAATCTTTATTAAACGATCTTAGGAATTTGCCATTATACGGTAACTTTTGAACATCTTATATAAGTGTTGATACTCGTCAAAATCAGGTAATTAATGGATAAAATTAAAATGCAGTTTGTATTCATCGAACATACTTCATACAAACGCACATAATAACAGGAAAACGAATATATAATGATATAGTCTCGACTTATTTTTTAAATTCCTTCGAACGCTCAAAATGAAAAGACTGAGAATTAAACTGAATTAAAAGATATAATGTGCGATTTTACAGCTAATTGAGAAAAGATAAAAATAATTGAGAATATACAAAATAATGTTTGCAACATAATTGATTCATGTAATATTTATAGATATAATATTATACATATTCGAAATTAGTGGATGGGATAAATGTGACAGCACACGATGACATATGAACGACGCATTTATATTTATATTTAATATGTTTATTATAATATATTTACATTTATATATATTTATATATAATATGTATATACTTAGAGTATTATAAGTTAAAAAAATTAATCAATATACTTTATTATAAATTAGATTATTTTCGCATATATAAATTTAACAAAAAAATGTTCAGTATGAAGTCTCTTTTTTGTTATCGATTAAAAATAGTTTCAACTATAGAAAAAATTTTCTCTTATATTTTCATAGAAAAAATTTCTCTTTTTGTAATTATTTTAAAAAATGTATAATTTTTAATTATTTAATAATTATGTATTTATGTAATTTATATAAATTTTATATTTTTATTTATTTAATTTTTCCTAATTTATTTTTTATTTTATAATTATTTTATAGTTGTATATTATGAATTAATAAATTTTATCCGTGATTGCACATATACAATTTTGTGACTGCGCTGACAATTTCTATGCTATAATCTTTTTTTATAAATTAGTCATCAACAAGTAATAAATATAATCATAAATTATTGTAAAAAATAGGAAGGCATATAAATGTTTATATCAATATTTGTTTATATCAATATTTAAACATATGTAAATATAAAAAATGGAATAGGATAATATAAGATTTAATATAAGATTTAATATTTCTGTACAAAGATGTGAAATAATGTCATAGAAAAAAACATAGAAATGAGCTATTGCGCGAATGTGTGCTGGGATGCGAGAGCAAAATAAATCGTAACTATTATGAAGATAATAACACAATTGATTCACAGTAGCATAATCTGTTATACGATTCTCCAGCAAAGGCGTGTAATATCGCATGGCGCACCACACGTCTTCCTCATAAATTAGATTCTTATGACTCGAATTAGCTGTCTTTAATTGCGTCGCGTGCGACTCGTGTGACTCACATATCCGTAAAGTACATTCGCGCGGAAAAATGCAATAATGATCTGCCTTACAGTATTGTATATTAGAATGTATATGCAATATATTCTAGAGATTTTATGAAAAACTTTATACATGTTTTTTATATTTAACATCAATATATATTTATAAATTTGTTTAGATTATATATATATATATAGGGTGTAACTGGAAAGTAACAGTTACATCCTATATATATGTATATATGGGGTGTAACTGGAAAAGCGCCCACGGAGGAAATAGCGCTATTCCTAATTAAAAATTAAGTTGAAAAGTCCTGAAATCCATTTTTTTGTATATATATATATATATATATATATATATATATGTGTGTATATATATTGTCCCTTCCCTCCATATCTACAGAGTGTTTCATAAAAAGGATGAAAAATTTTAAGAGATGATTCTTTGTCGAAAATTAAGAGGGATTTTTCATATAAACATATACTCCTACATTTCTCCCTGTCGAGTTACACTCCTCCAAAATGAGAGTAAAAAGTAAGTTTTTATTTTTTAGGTATTTAGGTTTTTATTATAATTTTGTTTTTGTTTCAACATTTACTCTAATTTTATTTTTATTTTAAAATTTAACTTCTCGTAATTCGGAACCTATGCTATTTAGCATCATGCTGTGCACGATAACGTACTTTACTATTTTTCTTGAAAACTATTGATTTTATGAAAAAAATAAAAGAAATAAAAAAGTTTCTAAATAAATCAAATATTTTAATGCATATTTTTAGATAATCATATTCCCATTATAAAATTCTAATAAAAATAAATTGAATAGGGATTTCTAGTTTCATCCCCTTGTAACAATATGAGAGACTGATAAAATATTAATAAATAACCTTTTTACTAGTAGAAAAAATCATCCTAATTTCTTTTCTTTAACTTGTTCCAAATTTGAGAAAAAAATAAAAATCTAATTTTTACCCCCATTTTTGCAGGAATGTAATTCCGCAGGAAGAAATGTAGGAGTATATGTTTATATGAAAAATCCCCCTCAATTTTCGATAAGGAATCATCTCTTAAAATTTTTCGCACTCAAGAAATATCCTGTACATACATACATATTGTATTTTATTTCTATGATAAAAAAAAATAAGCGCAGGCATAACAAGATTTGGGTAAGAAATACATACGGAAATTATGCTTAATTGAAAAATAGCTGTAATTATTTATATTTATGTGATGACATCTCCAGCAAAAATTTATTAAGATTGAGAAACCAATAATATTTACAAAAACGTATTTTTATCTTTTTAATCTTGTCGAACAAGAAATGGAAATGTGTATGCAAAACATCAAGAAAATACGAAGAACGCAAAGAACTTTGTCTTCTAAATGTGGAATTTAATTATCCCATTAGAATCACTCATTATATGATCTTTATCAACTATTTGCAACTATGTGCATATTTTATGTGTGTGTATATATATATATATATATATATATATATATATATATAGAAAAAAATAGATTTCAGGACTTTTCAACTTAATTTTTAATTAATATTAATATTAATAAATTTATTTTAAGGAATAACGCTATTTCCTCCGTGGGCGCTTTTCCAGTTACACCCTATATATATAATTGTTCCGAAGAAAAAATATGTAATTTGCAATTAACAATTACATATTTTTTCTTAAAAACAACTGTGTGTTTTCTTTACACCAATTGATTCTTCTCATTATTTTGTACATAAAAGTATTAAGATAAGATAATCGAAAAATAAATATTTTACTAGATATTTTATAGTTTATGTAAAATTAAGATATTATTTTAAGCCTCATAAATCGAAAAGTACTCAATGAAAAAATACTTTATTATAGTGTTTTGGAAAGCTGTCGATATAAGCTATAAGAATATGCAATAAAAAATAGGTAGTTCCATTTAAGAAATTAAAGGTGTCCTTGACCTGACCTTAACGATGCCATCCAAGGTGAAACCAATGACACCATCTTATGTTCCCCTCAAAACCATACAATTTTTGTCGAAAACGTTTTTCTCTAAAATGCTTAGTTTTTGAAAGAAAAGGAGTGTACGGGTGGTCTAGGACACCGTGTATATTATATATATATGTTGAAATATACATATACATATGTATGTATATATACAGGGTGTATCAGAGCGACCGTATCAGGCTGGTATTTCGAAAAATACGCATTTACTTGAAAAATGTTCCGAACAAAAGTTGTAGGACTTTAAGGGGCGCATTA